AGGATCCACTGTACCACTCTAGCACCGACAGGGACGAATGGAGATGTTAGTGGGGCTCGCTCGAGCTATTCGATGATCAACGGGACGAAGGTGATACAGACGATCCCTGTGTCTTCTGCAAGAAAGCTAGAACCACTCATGGCTGACCCTTTTTAATACCTTAGGCCTGTTAAAGTGGTGTGACTAAATGTTTGGAAGGTTTCCAGTGAGGGGTTACAGTTTGGGAGATTTCCAGTGAGGAGTACATGATGTGAAGTAGCTTTTTCATAGAAAAATTCACAAAAATAAGCTGATTATGGGGTATTTATTCATAAAGGGACTTTGCGCTCTACCTGAAATGTTGTCTGAATGATGAATTTTCAGCACCTCCACCTCAACAGCCTCAACCAATCTACACACAAGGAGGTGTTGCTTACACCGTTCAACCACAAACCATCATTGTCTCTCCTCATGTTGTCATTATAAAGGACGCACATACATTTCATCCCTATCCAGAATTTTGTCCAAAATGCCAGGTTTGTAATATGCCAGCTTTAGTTTTGTTTCAAATGATCAGCACTCAGTTGAGCAAGCTTTTCAGCGTCTTCATCTGCTTTTTTTACACCAACCAGAATTGCCCTATGTGATTTTTTTGTTCTACAAACGGTATGGGGTGCTAACTTAGTTGGGGGGGGGGGACCACGCGGCGGCGCGGCGCTCTGTTCGTCTGCTCCTCTAAGGCTTAGTCCAAGGGGCAGTTACTATTTCGTCGCCACGTGGCAGTTTCGAAATACGCGCCATCGGGGACTAAGCCTTGGAGGAGCAGACGAACAGAGCGTCGCGCCGCAAGCACCGGGATAAAATGGGTGTGTGAGGGCGTTCAGTAATGAAGCAGGAGGTGGGAGTGGTCGGGAAATGAAAAAAGAACCCACGATTACGCACCGAATAAGAAACTCTACCATTTCAGCCGCTTTCTACTCTGGGATAGAGAAGGGGCGTGTTGGAGCTCCAGTTGGTCCACTACCAATGGTATTGAACAGTAATGCTGCTGTTGCCGCAACTGCGCTCGCGCTTTTTTCATATCGTTGGCAACCTGAGCGAAGGCGGAGCATGAGGGCGAAGGAGTGGATTGCGAAGGGCGAGCTTCTAGCACCTTTGAAGCCGCATCAGGGGCGCAACATCAGCGCTTGTCCGCCTGTATACTACGCTCGGAAAGGGAACAGGTGAGTGTGCCTAACCCCGGACCATTACACAGTAATAGACAAGTACTGCCAGTACCTCAGTAAGCCTGAAATGATGAAAAATAACAGGAAAACACATCTTTATCAGAACAAATTCAAATAGATCTGAAGTGTAGTGAATCTAGCACTGAGAACAAGAAAGAAACAAGGAACTACTATGTAAGATGCTTGTCCGGCTTTAAATGAACT